TATTTTTTATGCTTTTTGTGTGAATTGTTCAATTACTGACAGTGAAAGGAATGAGTTACTGTAGATTTTCTATTTATCAGATATCCGGAAAATATTTAATTGAATTGCACGAAAATTCTCCGACCTGATTGATTATAATAAATGATTGTGTTTAATTATGCAATAGCGGAAAAATTACATTTCTCTTATGAAATATTGCTATAAGTGTTACGCAATCGAAACAATTTAAATAAAATAATATGATCATGCTTTTTTTATTGTTGAATCAATGTAGTGATTCAACAGTATGTACATTGATTCAACAATAAATAGATAATGATAATACATATTATTAATGAGCAGTGTTGGCCTAGTGGCTTCAGCGTGCGACTCTCATCCCTAAGGTCGTGTGGTCGATCCCCGGCTGTGCATCAATGGAGTTTCTTTCTATGTGCGCATTTAACATTCGCTCGAACGGCGAAGGAGAACATCGTGAGGAAACCGACATGTCTTAGACCCAAAAAGTCGACAGCGTGTGCCAGGCACAGGAGGTTGATCACCTACTTGCCTATTAGATTTAAAAATGATCATGAAATAGATTCAGAAATCTGAGGCCTAGACCTAAAGATGTTGTAGTGCCACTGATTTATTTTTTAATACATATTATAAATTTTTCAATAAATTATTTACAATCACACATCTTCTTCTTCAGTCGCACTCTTCATTTCTGAAGGTCATGTTAGTGACGCTGCACAACTTCCTCCACTCTCCCCTGTCTTCGGCAAGCTTCTGCGCCTGGGTGATGGTAAGACCCTTTATGGCCTTTACTTGATCGGTCCATCGGCCTCGAGGTCTGGTGCCCTACACTCTGCCAGTCAAGATGAGTTTTCTAGGCTTTCTGTATCTCTGTGTGTTGCATGTCCAAAATTTCACATATTTTATACGTAAAATTTTTACACTATATTTTATTATTCAATATATGTCAAAGACGTAAAGACGTTGAAATGCCTAAATCGTTTTGATATAATCCATAATCCTCATTGTAAGAGTACTAAAACTGGCGTTATGACAATATTTTTTTTTTGTCATGTGACTTTTTTTTAGAATATAAAGAAAACTTTACTTTAGAATATAAAGATATAAAGGTTCCTAAAGCAAATAATTCAAAACTCTTAGAAAATTACAATGTCTAATAACAAAAGCTATAGTTTGAATACAAATTTTCAAGCACTAGGGTCGCATTTGCCCTGACAGGGGACAGAGGTCAAGCGTGCCCTATCGCGTGTGTCGAGAGCCCTTAGCTATTGTTTAAACCGACTTAAAAGTACTCAAAAATGCTTGATAATGTGACAAACGTCAAATATGTCTCTCAAAATAGACCCTCAAATATTCGTAAGGCTTATTTCAGTGTATTGCAAGGTTGTACAATTTTGCTTCCTTTGTACTTAAACGTGTGACTCTTATACCTGAGGCTGTAGATTCGATCCCCTGCTGTGCATCAATGGAATTTCTGTCTATGTGCGCATTTAACACTCGCTTATATGGTGAAGAAAATATTGACCTTAGACCCATAAATCTTAGTGTGTGTCATGCACTTAAGGCTGATCGTCTACTTGCCTATTAGAAAAATAATCACGAAACAGATACAGATCTGTATAAATATAAAACAACAGATAATATACTATATTATCTAATGTTCATTAAGGGCACAAAGCTCGTGTAATACGGTTGTCATTAACAGACAGGAACAAAAGCTACGGTAGCCCGCTGTGCGTAACCTTTTGTAGCCACGCGTAGCGCCGTAGCCCTGTCGTAGAGGTGCATTTATGTTATGCAACAAATATAACGTTATTAAGGGTGGATTAATTTAGTGTGTTAGCTATTAGGATTTATATCCTTATTCGTATAGGCATAAATTTGATAGTCCTCTGTTTTGATTTTAGATGTCAAAAGTTAATTAAGAATAGTATTCGATCCTGGGAATTCCACGGGAATTCCAGGAATGCAGACAACAACATTGTTTAATTTCTGAAGAGCAATATAGTTTTTAAATGAAACTTAGAATTTTATCATACAACATTCAATTCATTCACGTCTGTTTCAAAAACTCGTTTTAAATTTAAAAGCTATTGATATTCAAAACGTATAAAGCACGATTACTGCTATAAACTGAAAAATTAACTTTTATATTTTTGCAAAATACTCCGCTATTGAAGTCATAAAACATTTAAAGCCCGTTACTTGGAAACGTTCATTAAATATTCAAAACCATAGCATAAGCTATACTCTGTTCCATTTTTGAAGCGCCCTTGACCTCTATCTCTTTGTCATAAGGCTGGAAATTCCGTATCAAAATCATCATCATGATGTTATACAATTTTAAACTTTCTCTCTTAGTATTGAGGTTTAAATTCGTGTGTAAGGTCGTTATAAAGAGCAGGTCAATCGCCCTACCTCTCTTGGGAGAGAACCCTCTAAAATAACCCTCACCTGCCGATTGAAGTTGCCGACGTACAATCACTACGAAATGTATTTCATACTAAAAATTACAGTTTTACTACAACTACTGTATGTAATTGGCACATTTGTGCTAAATAATAGGCGTAAAAACAAAACCGTCTAGAATGCTTTCGTTCCTTTTCTTTTCAATTGTGTGTACAAAATGACAAAAAGAGACAGTATAGTGCTTGAATTTTAGTGAACAAGTGGTTTGATAAGGATTTAACATAATCATTGGTAATGAGATAAATAATTTTAATTCGATTACATAAAACTTTAGTAGTAGTGGTACTGTAATACACACAACTCTATATTGTCCAAGATATCATCTGTATTTACTATTTGGCATAATTAAGTCAATTTTAAAATAACATTTTCGTTCGCAACTGTACTTTGAAGTACAAAGGCAACCGGCGCGCCACGTCCATAGAAACAGCAATTTTATTAAAGTTTAATGCGTCTGTTTACCTTCATTCACCACGGGTCTGATGGGGAGGGAAAGAGTGTAGAAATATGAATCATTACTTACCCGTATACACTAGCCGGCGGCGTCTCCGTCAGCGAACAAAATAAACAAAGTTTATTTGACGGTGTGTACGGAAATATATGGTAACCGAACAATTTTCAAATAACATACAACGCGATTAAGTACGTGTTCGGCATTTCATTTTTTTTAAACATTACACATTTAGCCTTGGCTATTAATTTCTATGAAATGTAAGATTCTTATATGAAATATTTCTTACATGACCAACCGGTTCTTTCTGGTTAGTGCTACGCCGTTTTAAGTTCTCATTTCATTTTCATACATGTATATCCTTTATATAACATATTTACCCGACATTTTAACATGTTTGAAAAATAAATAAATCAGTGGCGCTACAACCTTTTATAGGTCTGCACTCCGTCAATAATATGCAAGTAGGTGATCATCTTCCTGTGTCTGACACTTGCCATTGACTTTTTGGGTCTAAGGCAAGATTTCCTTTATCGTTCGAACAAATCTTAAATGCGCGCATGGAATGAAAGTTGATGCACAGCCGGGGATCGAACCTACGACCTCAGGGATGAGAGTCGCACGCCGAAGCCTTATACTTAATACTGCACACCTTTATACTTAATAGAAATCTTCTTCAAATAATTTGTACGCAGTTTCGGCAAGATAAGCAATCTAGCTCGACGAGTGTTGCGTGTTCAAAAAATATTATAAAAATACTACTATATTTTGAGTAGCATTACTTATCAGTTTCCTTTTTTACGTAATATTGCGGCATTGGTTTAAAAATAAGTCAAGGGCCATTACGAAAGCATTTCTGAGAAATTCACCACCTCGCGTGAGTCGCACTATACCGGAAGTTAAACCGGGGCTGTGGTTCATTCACTATATATTTCTCGGCAAATTAAATCAAAAGCAAAAAGGGTTTCAAATAATTCGAAAGGAGTAATTTTAGGAAATATTTTCTGAATATAATAAACTACTTACAAAAAAACATATTAATAGACATTAATAAATGTATTAACAGGCGTTACAAATTTATTATAAGTCAGCGACGCGCTTTCGAGTTCTAACTTCAGTTGCAAGTGCACAGAAATATGTGCGATTCTTGCTTTTACATTAAAAATCGTAATTTATTAATAATTTTATACAACCCTGACGTTATCAGATCGAGCGTGTAACACCCTTCCTTTATACATTTCTCATCCCCTCGTTTAGATGCTACCCGTGTCAGATCTTCAACATCAGTACAGAATTTTTATAAGACTTCTTAAGGTTTCAAAAGATTGGTTATCCCAATATTCGATAGAAATATACCTACATATCAACTTATATCCTGCCCTTACCGTTCGCGTGGAGTTAAGTCCTAATTAGTAATGAAATTGCCTTTCAGTACTGTTATTTTGAAGCACCTATTTTATATAAAATTACGTAGAAAACCTAGTAAAAGATATGTCGGTAAAACTGGGTACAAATCAAGAAACAAAAAAGCTCCCCTCAGTGCGGATAATGACGTTGTCTGACGAGCTTCCACGCAAATTGGATTTCTGCAACACAAGTCGTTAGTATCCCGTCACTGATTACGTTTTTAGCTCACTTCTGGGTGTCTTTTCACGTACTTTAAGAAAATAGGGTGTCATTCCCAGGGTCAAACCCAGATTAGGAACCATGTCTATAAATTAATGAATTGCAATTGTTTGTGTACTATTTTCAAAAGGACTCTGAATCGTCTTTGGATTTCGAAGGTCTCGTAGAAATGGGATAGAGGAACCATGTCAACCAACAGAAACAAAGATCGACTCAAATTCCTTTTGAAACAACCTCCTCCCCCACGTTATATGACGAGGAAATGATATTAATGATCATTTCTGTTTGTTGTCAGGTTCCGAAGTCCCATTCGAGGACGGCGAGGGTCAACGATTAACTAATGTCCTCTGAGCGCACACTAGCAACGAAGTAACAGTTGATATATTCCGATATGCGGTTGGCTTATATTTTTACTTGAAAATAAATAACGATAATCAAAATGGCGGAAGAAGGACCGCAATCGATCTGGCAGAAGATCGACAACACCGTCATACCTTTCGTTAATTTGCAGGTGAGAGAAGTTAGGGAAGTACTATGGGACAAGATCAAAGAACCGACCTCCCAGAGAAAGATCATCTTAGTAATAGTGTCTATAGCCTTGCTCCTAGATAACATGCTGTACATGGTAATAGTACCTATCATACCGGACTATTTGAGGTACATCGGTGCATGGGGGGAAGCAGGATTCGATCATGTCGTAACTCTCGCACCAATACAAGAAGGCAACAGAACGATTATACCAACTAAAATAATTCCCGCTTCACATGAAGGGCAGGACTCAGCTACAGGACTACTCTTTGCTTCCAAAGCTATAGTACAACTGATGATTAACCCCTTCTCTGGTGCCTTAATCGATCGTATAGGGTATGATATACCGATGATGATCGGACTGATTATTATGTTTCTATCAACATCGATCTTTGCTTGTGGAAGGAGTTATGGTATGCTTTTCTTCGCTCGAAGTCTCCAGGGTGTTGGATCCGCTTTTGCCGACACATCAGGGCTAGCTATGATAGCTGATCGATTTACAGAAGAGTCAGAGCGATCAAAGGCTCTCGGGATCGCATTAGCATTTATCAGCTTTGGTTGTCTCGTAGCACCACCATTTGGAGGCGCTTTATATCAATTTGCCGGAAAAGAAGTTCCATTTCTTATTTTAGCCCTAATTTCATTATTGGATGGATTCATGCTTCTCTTGGTAATGAAGCCATTAAAAACGCAAATAAAAGAAGCACAGCAGCCAAAACCAGATGGTACGCCTATATGGAAGTTACTAATGGACCCTTACATTGCGGTGTGTGCAGGAGCTCTCATGATGTCAAACGTTGCATTGGCATTTTTAGAACCTACAATATCCTTCTGGATGGAAGATCACCTCACAAAAGATAATTGGAAAATTGGAATGATATGGCTACCTGCATTCTTTCCTCATGTACTTGGTGTTATAATAACAGTAAAAATGGCAAAACAATATCCTCAACACCAGTGGTTGATGGCTGCTGGAGGATTGGCGCTAGAAGGACTTTGTTGTTTCATCATACCTTTCGCAACCTCTTACAAAATGTTGATGATACCTATTTGTGGGATCTGCTTTGGTATAGCATTGATTGACACTGCGCTTCTGCCTACTCTTGGATATCTGGTTGATGTCAGATATGTATCTGTATATGGGAGCATATATGCTATCGCTGATATATCTTATTCATTTGCTTATGCTGTGGGACCGATAATCGCCGGTGAAGTTGTCGAAGCAATCGGCTTTACTGCATTAAATCTATTTATTGCGTTCAGTAATCTTCTCTATGCTCCCGTACTGATGTACTTAAGACATATTTACGATTTCAAGCCATTCGAAAATGAGGCTAATATCTTAATGGCTGATCCACCTGAGAAAGAGTATCAGACGTACAGCATGCAAGACCAAAGACCGGTAAATGGGGAGTACAAGAATCATCTTGAATACTCAAACGTGCAAGGGCAGGATAACGTGGAAGAGTCAAATGTGGATAGTTCGAGGGACTACCAGCAGGGTTATCAAAACTATTCACAGGGATACGAGCAACAAGCTTACCAGCAGGAGAACTACAGCCAACCACGCCAGCTACCTGCGCAGCCGCAAGCTCCAGCCAGTAACCCTTTTAGGGGGGCGGAGGCCGCACCCGCGGGCCCTACAGCTGCACCTGTAAAGAACCCCTTCCGGCAAGGCTTCTAGAGCCATTTAGTGTTGTTGTGTAAATTTCTAATATTACTTGTTGTATCTTATAGGTAACTTCGATCACTGAGTCGCCTCCCGTTTGCGACGTTTCTTATCTAGCTGTGCTTAATGTCGTAGTTTCAACTGTTAGAAATGTCACCTCAGTAGGACTGAAAGCTCTACATGTTGTAGTTTGTTGCGTTTGATAACTGAGAAGGCATTTATAACAGCCTCTTGTTGATATTGTTCTTACCTGTTAATGTTCTATCACTTTCTCACAGAGATAAAACTATTCGATGATATATTTTCGAGTTAGAAATACTTGATGTAAAAGTTTATATAATCTATACTTTATATTCATTCAATTTCTAATCGAGAATTGCATATCTCGTATATTGAGATATTTTGTACATAAAACGCACGATATTATAGTAAGTACAAAATTTATCAAGAATTAAATTAGGGCCTAAACAGGTGAAATATTTAACTTCATCTGAAAATCTGTATTTATAAAATGCCCTTGTATTGTTTGAATTACGTTTTAATTTATTGAATATACATATTCAAATCAAAAATATTAGACATAGACTTAGACATAACATTTATTACAAACGAAAATTGAAGCAGTGTGACGAGCTCTACAGTTAACGTATTTGTTTAGTGCGAAAATAATATGAAACTAATAACGTCCGTAAAAATACTTAATTTGAGAACCAATACCAGCTTATTGCTTATAATATTTCATATAAATGAATGAGAGTAGTTCGTGTGACGTTTGAAACATTGAAATAAATACGGCAACCATGGCTCTAAGGCACTGAACTCAAATCGTGTTACTTGTATTGTAAACATCAATTGTTCATACTAATACATAAGTACGAACTTGTACATTATTCTCAAAGTTGTAATATTTAACCGTCTCTACAATCTTTGCCTTTTATTAATATAAAATATCTTATTGTTTCAGCAATACTTAGAATAAGGTTTAATATCAATTTATAACTGTATATCAATTACTATTAATTAGGTAAGTTAGTGATCAACTTGTGATAAAAAGTTGCAACCAAGGTAACGAAACATATCAGAATCTTTTGATTCATTTAGAATAATGTATAGTATTAGTGATATTTTTGAGTGTTAGACGTAGAATGTGTTTAAGTAGAGTAAAGATGGAGGTCTGTAGTCATGTCACGTGACTAAGGCTGTTTTAAATTTTGAGTTTTAAATTTGAAACGCAAAATTTATATTATTTGTACTTGTATATTTGTGACGTTCCCGATAAGTCAATTTGAATGTACAGAGAGCATGCATTATATTTGTGAAATATATGTAAAAATATTTAAATTCGGCAAGGTTTAAAAGGAGAATTTTAATGCAAAGTCTTCGTTTATTGAGTTGAAATTGATTGGAAAGAGATAAATTAGCCTGCGAAGTACAATAGGAGTTGTAGTAAATGCACAAACGAAGCACACACAATGTACGTGCAACAGGAAAGCACAATCGTTTCAGAATATATTGTCTTTTTCAAATCTTTGTTAAAAGTATATTTTTGATGTGGTTAATTAGGTGTTAAGGTGAGAGTCAGTTGATGTAAGTTAAGGTCAATTTTCGTGTCAAATTCTCCCGAAATTCAATTAATAAGTAGTCGATGTGCTGAGAGATGCTTATACTAAGATTGAGCGTAACTTTTGATGATGACTTTGAAGAATAAATTCCTCACGTTTTTTACGTCAAAATAAATAAATTTACAATTTGATTGTTCAGATTTATGGAGTTTTACAGTAGAATTTAGACCACAAAAAGTTTAATAAATATTTTCAAATTATTATTAGTATATTTATGTATTTATTTATACATTCAAGTTTACCAAATCATACATATCTACGCTATATGTTACAAACTCTAACATTAACAAAATGTCATAATAGTAAGTTAGGCTATATACATCAGTACATAACAACGAAGATGAAAAACTGAATATTTTTTAAGAACGGAGAGATTTTTTCAAAAATATAATTTAAAAATAAATGAAGTATACAATAAAAAGTTATCATCAAAAGGAACATATTAGCTTGAATATTACTGAATTTATTCTCTAAGATAGTGATTTTGTGTCTATTTTATCGTAGCAATAACATAACCAGCTATATCACATACATATCATTAGATTTAAGATATACATTTTTACATAAGAATATATTATATATAGCAGTAACGCACATAATATTTAATGAGATTAATATTAAGATATTTTTAAATAATATTTTTCGTATAATCTATATTGTTTATGGTTTTAATTTGACATGATTAGTAAAACAATCTATCTTTAAATATTTACAAAGATTTGAAATTTCCCATAAAATTCAGTCCAAATTCAATTGATCTGACTTGTTTTTCCATATCTTTAACATAACACATTTTATTATAATTAACGTAAACTCAAGTCGTACTCATAGTTATCCATTAATCCATAATGGTTTATTGAAGTCTAGGGTAGTGGACCTTGCTTCCCATTGGATCTATGGTGAACCTATTGAAATCTTTACATATTTTAAAGGCTAACTGTATTCTTAATAGACGTTTTTATTTCAAAAATATATTTTAGTTCTTCATAATTTTCACAATATCTTAGCTTTTATCTTACCTTCAAACCTAACTGCCTAAAATGACTAAAGATTGAAGTAATGTCTCAGAAAAAAAAGGATTTCCGCACCTTTTGAAAGTATTTTTTTTGTTTTAATATCGGAGTGAAAAAAAAATCATGTAGATTTTATTGACGTTTAAAAATACAATTTTTTTTGCAGTTAGGTTTTGATACTTTGATCTATACCCGTCCGTAGCTTCTAACTGTCATTTGTCATCTGTCACCTTAGTGGGTTTTTTCAATAGTTACCCTTTTTTTTAATAGTTTTTAGTACTCTTTAGAATTTTGACATCTCCTTATTTTAGTCATCTTAAGATAAGATTTAGGTACTTTTATTACGTTTTTTTTATATTATATATTATTTTATTATATATTTATATTTTAATGGTTTTAAAGTGTAAAATGTATCATAGTTAATAAGTGTAAATATGGAAGCCCACACATAAATGAGTGATAATTCAATCGTATCTTTAACGCAAATATAAAAGAACTAAGCATACAAAAGCAATATCAAAAATAGTGAAAAAATCACTAAAAATACTTTATAATCTTAAATTTAAAAGATCAGTCAAAGCTTCCTTAACATATGCTTATGTACAAACTCATACTATCATATCTTAATCATTACATATATATCTCTGTACTCATAGTTGTTCAATAAATGAAGCAGACTTGATCAATCATTTTCGAGAAAAATATGAAGAAGCCAAAGTTTTAGTACCTGGTATCAGGCTCTTAAGGAAATAATTGTCTAACAACCTTCAAGTTATCTACTATTACAAGTAGCGATACTATTAAATTGACAGTTTCACTCGCTTACTTAAAACTTAATATTTAACTGCAAATTGCTAGTATTGTAGGTAGCGAAATGCACTACAATATTTTTAATACAATTCTTGATGCAGACATAATTTACGTCATATCAAGTCGCATTGCAGCTATGCTTAGCTCATTAACTTATATATCGTAATCATTAATCTAAACATTATAGTTATATTATTATATTATCATATTTAATGATAGTGTAGATTCGTGTGGAATATTTAAGAGAACACAAATCATTGTTCTTGTGAAATTTATTTCCATTTGGATTGAACAAGATGGTGTGTTATGTTACATTTTGATTTTTTGTGAAATTACAGCTTATATATATAGCTGAGAGTAGAGTATTATAATAGCTTGTTAAGATGTAGAAAAAAATAAATTGTACAGTGAAATTAAATACATAATTATCCTAGCATTAAAATAGTTTATAAATTATTTTAATGCGGTATAATTTTTAAACCGCTAAATAATTTAGCGTAAAATTACTATAATAATAATATTAATAGTTGACACCTTAAATGGGTTTATATACACGTGATTATCATTATCACGTCAGGAAATACGTGTATTTCTTTACAGTGCAATAGCTTAATAATAATAGTATATATTTAGGAAATTTGAATTGAATAACTCATATGTTCTTGTAAATTACGTTGATAGTATTATAAATGTAAATTAAGTGTATTATCAATATTAATCAAACGAAAGAGCATACCTATTAAAATCTAGTTTGTATAATCAATTTCACGCATTTTCTGTAGACGTGTAGTAATGTTAAAGAATTATTAGTTAGATATAGGAACTTGGAGTGAATATTGAATCAAAGAGTTATAAAGGCAAAAATCGTTGTCTGTTTAGAATATTGTTCTATTAATTTTTATTGGAAAGTATCATTAGTTTATATTAGGTGTTGTCTTTCATTTGGTTTGAGATTTAGCTGTAAGAAAATGTATAAATTATATACAAATCGCATCTTGTAAGTATTTCTGTATTTAACAAGACATCCAACTAAAAAGCCGTGCGACATTTATTCTTATTAAATATATATAAATCGACGCTAAATTTCTTCACTCAAAATTTGCTTGCGTTCGGTAAAGACTAGAAGATCTTAGTAATTTCAGTGTTTGCAACTCCGACAAATAAATAAGTCTTGCCATAAAAACTGTCTGGTATTTTTAAAACGGTTATCTCTTAATCAGAACATACTTAAACTTGCGAATTGTAATTTATCAATGTATAAACTAGACATGTTATTTTTATATATTTCGTTTTTCTCTTTGACGGCTTAAAGCTTGTAATTTTGCCCTTCGCTTAAACAACTGCGTGATAGCTGGATGTTGATAATCACTTGACGCCTCAAAACTGGATGTGTCATTTGTCATCTGTCAAGTGTCAATTATTTGATAGATCGCACTAAGAAACTCTTTGAACCCTAAGAGGCTTTTAGTATTTAGACTGCATAAAGCAATATTGCAGTGGTTGTCAACATACCACGTAGGTATTAGTTGTAATCAAATTAACCATGATTGTATAATGTGGTCAAACTTAA